ATATATATATATGTGTGTGTGTGTGTGTATAGATATAATATATATATGTGTGTGTGTATATATATATATAGATATGGATATATAGATATAGATATCACTAATGTTTACATACAATGGTGAAATTAGTCTGCTTTTAACCCATCCACCACCAGGTGGTGCAGTGGGCAGCTATTGAAAGCACTCGTGGGGCATTTTGGGGATAAGGTGTGCTACCCAGAGACACCACAAGGTATGCTAAATAAATAAATATATATATATATTGTTTTTCTTTAAATTAATGAATTTAAAAAATATATAAAATATATAGAGTATGTATGTACACACACATATAAGCTGAAATACTGATACACAGGTTTTTGTGCTTTACAGTAACTTCCAATAACAACAGACACAATCACTTCAACCGTCTGAGACACAGCTGCCCATTAATTCAGTTCACTTTATTTATAAAGCACCAAATCACAACAGAAGTCATCTTAGGGCACTGAACAGAAACATTCATATATAAAAATAATAATTTAACATTATTTATCTGAGGAGCAGACTGCTTTGAATTTAACTTCATCGCTGAACTCTCATCTTGAGCATGAAGGCGACAGTGGAAATGAAAAACTCCCTCAGGAGGAAGAAACCTTTAGCAGAACCAGACTCAGGACAAGCGGCCATCTTTAATCATTTGAAATTATTTATTTTCACACATTCTTTCCTAAAGATTGCCAAAAACATTTACTTCTGAACCTCTGAAGAGGCAAACATGAAAACACGCCGTGTTTCCTGAAACTGTTGCTGTGACGCGTGTGGATTGAAAGTAAAAGCACATTTGTATCAAATCGGGTTAACAGGAATTTGTCCACTAAAAGAAACTACTTTTACAAAAGCACCACTAGATGGAGACATTTAAGCTACAATAACAGTCCTTAGTTCATTCTGAGTTCATCCTAGGTGAAATTAAATAGACGTGTTGGGAGATGAGTGGTGCTCTCCAGTTTTCAGATAAATGGTAGGCACGCTGCTCTGCAACACTTAAAAACGTCCTCGTGTTATTTGACGGTTCCCACCCCTGAGTGGAACTTCCAGCACCAGCTCTGTGCGGACTTTCCAAGTGGGCAGACGTTACTTTCAAAACGCTCCTCACAGTGCAGGCACACAGACCCCCGGAGCCTGCTCGGCCCACCAACCACAGACCAGAGCCGTCACGCTCCCACACACCAGAGCACGTCTTGGAGGAAGGAAGTGATGTCAGAGGCTCGTCTCTCCTGAGGCACATTACAAAACACGCAGAGAGGAAGAATAAGCATGTTATTTATAAAGCCGGGTAAAATTAAACTTATCACAACTGACGGTTGTAGTTTGACTCTGAGTGAACCTACGAGTCGGCCTACACGCAAACACACACGGTCATTTACCAGCAGGCTTAACATGTCTGCTGGAGTATTTACCAAACAAGTACAAAGTATTCCCCCAGTGTGCATGGTAATAAGCTGCTGGGAGTTTACTTTGCCTCATAGCTGCATGTTTGGGGGGAGGTTGAAGGGTAAGTGTGGGAGGTGTTTCTCAGCCGTGTGTGTCAGCAGAGGTGCTGATTTTTGACGTCGCTCTCGTGTGGCGTGCGTCGGCTCACCAAGGGGGTGAAATGATGCTACGCGTTGCTTTAAGGTCAAAGGTCAGCGAGGCATGAGATGATGAAGCATCATAAATGTGACTAACAGCAGCGATGCGTTGCATTATTGTTTTTCACTCAGCTCTGTCACTTGATACATGAGCTGTAACATTCTTACTGCTGCAAGTCACCTCGGATCCCATCACGAGAAATTTCCCAAAGTCACTAAGCTCTTTACTGGAAGGACACACTTCCCTTTTCAAAGGAAATAAATATTTGTTTACTAAGTTATGCACATTAGAAAAACCACCTTTCATTTTGGTACAGTTTAATGCTCATCAAGGACTTTTATTTTCAGTTTTGCTCTCTTCAGGAGGGGATTCTCTTTTAGACAACTGAAACTATTCCATCAGACAACTAATCGTAATATTCCTTTACGCTCTCAGAGTGCGGTGTTTCTAATTTATCAGTACCCTTGAGCTACTTTGGGTCACGAGTCTGAAGATGTTACTTGAAAATTATTATGATTGAAATAAATGTTTGAAGAAAGGGGCAGATATAATAAGATTTTTTCTTCTTTATGCTGCCTTTCATTTTAAATCTCTTGTATCTTTCTTTATATTGTTATGGAATTGTTTTGTACCTTTTTAAAATGAATAAACTTTATACCATACCATACTTTGGATCACGACTGAAGATCAGGTTTTGTTTAACATGTTTAGCCTTAAAATGAACTTTGATTTAAAAAATGTTCCTTTTGTGGAACATTTTTTTGTTGAGTGATTTTGTGCTTAATGCCAAGTTAAATGTTTTAACAGCAAAGTCCTTCCTCTCAAAGAACAAAATCCCAAATTTGTTTTACTGGTATGTCCAAAACCATTTAATCCATACAGATTAACAGCTTCAAGTTTTAAATAATGACCTAAGGTCAACTCATGTTTATATAAATTGTTTCAGATTTTATGACCTTAAGCTAAAGCTAAACTTGGAGAACAAGGGAAAGGCATCTAAACTTGTCTGCTTTGAAGGAGAAAGACTTTTGAGCTACTTTTGAGTAAAATTTCACGCCGCAAGTGTGAACGTGTTCAAACCACCTCGCACGTTTTAGTCACAGTAAACTACACAACTAAACACCGTCACGGACAATGCTGGAGACTGGCATCATCTTAAAAATCTAAGCTGACGTTGATTGTTTTGTGTAAATGATTTTTCCACACATCAGCTCTATAATCTTGTGTGGGGAAAAAAAAAAGATGAATATCAGCTTAAAGTTTTAAAAACAAAATCAGGACAAACCTTTTTCCTGGAAATGAGCTGCTGAACATTCAAACATCCTCCTGAACACATTCAAATTGCTGCGCTCCTTGACGAGTCAGCAAATACCCCTGAACAAAAACAGATCAGAATAAAAACTGAGCGATGGTTCAAATAATAATGAGCAGAAAGCCTGAACGTTCAGCTCCATCAGTTTTCAGTATGCGGAGCAAAAATGTTAGGAAGTTAATTTAAAAACAGAGATTTTGACATTTTCAAACTGCACCAATCAAGTCTTTTTCAAATGCTGTTGTACATGTGAACCTTCAAACTCATCCTGTTTTCTTATCTTTGTCATAGATTTACAACAAATAGTATTTTTCAGCTTTCTGACTCTTGAAGCCTTTTGTAAATGTAGTTTTCCAGACACACCTGGAGAGATTTCAGGAAAACACACTTCCTGTGGTAGTAAATCGCTGCTTTTCAGGGTGGAGAACTGCATCATCAGCAGATTTATGGTCTGGTTGTTAGCTTTCTGACTAACTGGACATGCTGGGAAACAGTAACCGCTTAACAACAAAGTCCATGCTCAATAATCCAGGTATACAATCCAACATTTTTCAGTCAGGTCATCTGGACGGTTTCTTTTTTTGTGCTGAAACGTTTCGCCTTCGATCCGGAAGGCTTCATCAGTCAAGGAAACACACAACAAAACGGATTCTTGCCCCAACAGCTTACTCCAAAGTGGAACAAACCAGTTCTGCTTGGGATAAGATGGTCTCTTTGGTACGCCCCCTCCTCCATTGCCGGCCCTCTTCCTTGTTGACAGTCTTGTCAAACTGGTTGAAAACAACAAAGTCCATGCTCAATAATCCAGGTATAAAATCCAAACGCCTTCGGCGACATTTTTCGGCGAAACGTTTCAGCACCAAATAAAAAAAGAAACTGTCCAGATGACCTGACTGAAAAATGTTGGATTGTATACCTGGATTATTGAGCATGGACTTTGTTGTTTTCAACCAGTTTGACATGACTGTCAACAAGGAATGGCAATGGAGGAGGGGGCGTGACAAAGAGACCATCTTATCACAAGCAGAACTGGTTTGTTCCACTTTGGAGTAAGCTGTTGGGGGAAGAATCAGTTTTGTTGTGTGTTTCCTTGACTGATGAAGCCTTCTGGATCAAAGGTGAAACGTTTCAGCACAAAAAAAGAAACTGTCCAGATGACCTGACTGAAAAATGTTGGACTAACTGCTTAAATTGCAGAAAACAGATGAATGATTTCATTTCAGCCCGTCGCTTCTCTCCAAAAATCATATTCAGAAAAAGAAAAAAAAAACGAAGTTTTTGGGGTTTTCAAAAAAGTCATCTTTATAAAAACTTTTCTTTTTGCAACTTGTTTTTGAGTTATATTCCATATCTATATACCTTATTATATTATTATTATTATATATTAATGTGTAAAAATGTTCTTTTTAACTCCAGACTGTAAACATATTATAACACAGATCTTCACATTGTGTTAAGTTATTGTATTTTTATGTTATGGTATAAGTATTTTTCAATTCAATTCAATGGACACACCCCCAAAGTAAAAAAAAGCTCACTCTGAAAAGGATGTTGAGTTGCAGGGAGGTGGTATAAGCTCTGACACACTCCTGACACACCACATCACTGCAGGTTCTTCTAAACTTCACACCACAGAGGACTTTAATGAAGCTGGATAACAAATACAACTAAAGATTTAGATCAACAAGAACTACATAAAAGAAGATTTCTTTTGTTTAGTCTACCTGGGATTTTTCTTGGAGTCATTCTTGGACTGGATCCTTGGAGCTGACACTGCAGGATGGCTGTGATCCACTGGCTGCTGGTTCTGGTCCTGGTTCTGCTCTCTCGGGGCTCCACGAGCAGTCCTGGACAGATGGAAGTTGGCTGCAAGATAAAGTATCAAAAAGGAGATGACGTTTGCTGTGATGAATGCCATCCTGGTAAGTAAGAAAACTGTATAACCCCAGCATGTACTTCTGAACAAACAAATGTTTTATAGTTAAATGCAAGTTTTTTTCTTGCGGTTCTTAAAAGCAGCACGGTACACAAAAACTCAGATATTTGAGACCACAAAGAAAAACGACCTATCTTCAGATTTTGTTTGGGGCAGCTGTAGCTGAGTGGTTAGAGCAGTCGTCCTCCAATGCAAGAGTTGGGGGTTCAATTCTACCGGCAGTCACATAATGAAGTGTCCCTGGGCAAGACACTGAACCCCTCATTGTCTCCGATGTGTGTCCCATCAGTGTATGAATGTAAGCTCTGATTATTCTTTGCATAGATCTAGTAGAGTGCTGTATGAATGGGTGAATGAGGTCACAGATTGTAAAGAGCTTTGAGTATCTTGATAAGATAGAAAGGTGTTGTATAAGTACAGTCCATTTACCATTTTCTTGTTCTCGTAAATGTTCAGAAAGGTCACATTCCTGACTGTGGAGGAGTTCCTCTGTGGTGGCTGCATAAACCCAGATAGTTTCAGTGGTTTCTCACCTAATCCCACAACAAACACATGGATGATGTGACTGATCAATCCATTCAGAACTCCAAACGACTGAATTATACTTATATTAAATATTTATATTATATACGTGTTGATTTGCACAAATGACCAACTCATGCAGTCTGAATAGTCTTAGAACTAACAAAGCTCCATTTACTGCAGGCGTGACAGAGTTCTTGTTGGTTATTACAACTGATTTAATATTGCTGTTTGTAGGGAACCTGCTGGTTCACCGTTGTGGTCCTCGCCCTAAAGACCTCTGCAAACCTTGTGATCCGGGGACTTTTATACTGGACCCCAGGGGGGACCGTTGCACGAGGTGCACGCAGTGTGTCGGTATGTTTTTGGATCGACTGAGTGACGTAGCAGCGAATTTATCTCTTCTTACACGAGACCCCATCATTTTCTAGGCGCTCAGTACCATTTGAAAAACTGCACGGCCAGGAGTGACACGCAGTGCGGCTGCAGAGACGGACTCATCTGTGGGAATAAACCGTGCTCTTACTGTGTGGAGAAATGTGCCAAAGGCCACGAGCGTGCAGATGACGGTGAGGAAAACTTTGAAGAGTTTATTTTCATTTGGTACACTGTCAACGATCCAGCTCAGCTAAAAGTCACTTTTCCACAGATTCTTGCAGACCTTGTCCAGAGGGAACCTTCAACGATGAGAGTTTTGAAAAGTGTAAACCGTGGAGCACCAGGTGAGCTCTCTGACGGCGATAACCACATTTTGTTGTGGCTTTAAAAGAAACACAAAGTCATTGTTTCCAATGTTTCCCAAAGGTGCCCCGGTCTGGATCAAGTGATTGCGGTCCAAGGAAATGCATCTTCTGATATTCAGTGTGTGACCCTCAGCACTGTGAGCAAACCCAACTCACCTGGTGAGGCCCGAGCACACGCCTCACACGCCACACCTGTTTCCATTTAAATCACTCGAGGTTTTATTTTCCTGTTGTGTAGGAACGCACGGTGTAGGTCAGGGGACGCCGACGACGGCATATGAAGTCGCCATCGCAGTTTTGTTGGCGCTTTTCATTATCGCCATCATCATCATCATCCTCGCAGCTGTGAAAATCCACCAGAACAGAAAGAAGCCGCAAAAGCAGCCAACAGAAACTCTCGTCATCAGAACTCCTACAGGTAACGATGTCACAGAGTAACGACTGCAGCTCCTGGAAGTAAAACGTATTGACGTTACTTTTCTTCCTTAGATGGACCCAGAACGTTGATACCCATCGAGTGCAGCTTTCATGAGGCCCAGCAGGAACAAGGCAACAGCACAGAATCCCTGATCAAGGAGCCCTCAGAGGAGCCCAGTGCATGATGGGAGGAACATGACTCACATCCCTATCGCACTAGGGCTGATGTTTTGTTGAAGAAAACAAGTTTATCTTGAATAAACCGATTCCTCTTTGTGATACTGAGCCACAATGGAGGATCCCATCCCTGTGCCAACATCACTTAGCTCCTACTCAACAAAAGAAGGATTCAAACCGACATCTTTGATCCTCTTGATAAAACTCTACCTCTGTAACCTGAGCAGGGCAGGCTACGTTACGTTTAGCTAAATAATTAGACACACGACTCTGTAAACACACACATGGGAGCAAGGGGAATTTGGAGTGGGAAAATAAACCAAGTGGACTCAACAAAGACCTTTTTATCATGTGAGGCAGCAGACACCGAGGCTGGACTTCCCCCTGACTAAAACACCAAAACTAATCAGGAGGCGTTAAAACACTGTTTTGGACACTTGTGTTCAAAAAATAGTTTTCAAGCAACTTCTACATCAGGTTCAGTGGCCCCAAAACAACCAGTAGTGTTTGTGAAACTCAAAGGTGGTGTGAAAGTTTTATTACTGATAACTGCATTTCTTTGCAGTGTGCTCAAGGGTGTGAAAAGTACAGTGCACGTGGGCGTTCAACTCTACACATTTGAGTCACTTCTAATTTTGAGCCCACATACGCCTTTATCGATGACGTCATCCCTTCCATCCGCTCCAGAGGGTTAGCCTAGTTACCTACTATTTTCTGCTGAATGCGTAAATGCTTTGTTTGGATCTGTATTGCCAAACTATGTGGGGAGGATTTCAAAATACTTTTTGTTTTAAGTATTCATATTTTACACGCACCTGTGAATGAGTTGTAGTTATGCCAGCTGGCTGGAAAACCAGTTAGTGTTTACTTGACAAAAGCTGCATGGACTTTTTGGTTATTGAGAAACTGATAATGACAAAGTCCAACCTGAGGGCTTCCCCCTGTGTTTTCCTGCAAGTAGTTTACATACAGCAGGAAGCTTCCTGACAGGACAGCACCTACTGGAGACAATGAACAATTCACAGGGAGGCAAACGTGGCTGAGCTACAGAGGCACCTTGAAACAAGCCGACACATGCCGATTGAGCAACAGCTGAAAACCAGCAGGAATCTAAAGCTGTCATTGACTCTAAATGTCTAGTATTAGTCACCTGTCCTCTCATGCACCTCTGACTAACGTGGATCATTGTGCTCCACACCTGGCAGACTGACATAAGAGATCATGAGGCTCCGGGGTCAGGTGGAAAACCCCCGACAGACGTGTTTCAGTTAAATATTTCTCTGTGAGTAGTAAGGTGGGCTGTGTGACGAGGCCAACAGGAAATGTTTTTGCTTTAAAGCTGTTTTTCTGAACTGTGGCAGGCATGCTTCTTTACAGAGTGGAACGTTTAAGAAGTGTAAGTGGGTTAACGGGTGACATGTGAGCCCACACTTGTTGTGATTTGTCGTTTTACAATGTCTGAGTCATAAGTCGAGCGACGCCTGGCCTCAAAGGTCAGTCATCTTCTTCTGAACAGTTACATTCTTTCTGGAGGACTTCCTTTTTCATCTTCTTCACAGAATGTTCTTATACCTTCAATATTTAATTTCCCTAATTGCTCGACAAGTAACTGCAGATATAAAATGTTTCCGCAGAGTTTTTGTCACTGGACAAGTCTGTACTGTTTGCATACTGTTACACTGTACTTTATTCCATTTGTGGGGCAATTAATTACATTTTTTTATTTGCTGTACTTTCATGCAGAATGTCTTCACACGCTGTGGTCCAACAAGCAGCGGATATTATATATTATTGTTATAATATATTTATAACAAATCAAGTGGGATTAACAACAGAAAAAAATTAATAGAATCATTAAGTTTTGTTTGTCTTCTTTCGGCTGCTCCCTTCTTCAGAGGTCGCCACAGCGAACTAACTCACATGAAGACCTGACGAGGCAGGTGTAGATGCTTCACCTTTCCCACCCACATTTTGATGTTGTCAGTCCGGGGAGCAAGTGGTGCAAGAGTCTGGTTTGCATTGCTGGTAGTAAGTGGGACCCCTTCAGGGTGGGAGGTGGACTCTGCCAGGGCTGCCCATTGTCACCGATTCTGTTCATAATGTTTTATGGACAGAATTTCTCGGTGCAGCCAGGGGGAGGAGGGATTCTGGTTCGGTGGCCTCAGGATTTCGTCTCTGCTCTTTGCAGATGATGTGGTCCTGTTGGCGTCATCGTGCCGTGATCTTCAGCTCTCACTGGAGCGGTTCGCAGCCGAGTGTGAAGTGGCTGGAAAGAGAATCAGCACCTCCAGATCTGAGGCCATGGTCCTCAACTGGAACAGGTGGATTGAACACTTCAGGTCGAGGGTGAGGTTCTGCCTCAAGTGGAGGAGTTAGTTCAAGTATCTTGGGGTTTAGTTCATGAGTGAGGGAAGAATGGAGTGTGAGATTGGATTGATGTGGCATCTGCACTGGTCTGTTTTGTTGAAGGGGGAGCTGAGCTGTAAAGCAAAGCTCTCTGTTTACCGGTCAGTCTACGTTCCTACCCTCACCTATGGTCATGAGCTCTGAGTAGTGACCGAAAGAATGAGATCGTGGATACAGGCGGCTGAAATGAGTTTCCTCTGCAGAGTAGCTGGACTCTCCCTTAGAGACAGGGTGAGAAGTTCAGTTATCCGGGAGAGACTCAGAGTAGAACCGCTGCTCCTCCACATCAAGAGGAGCCAGTTCAGGTGGTTCGGGCATGTCTGACTGGGAGGAGATCTCAGGGAAGACCCAGAACACACTGGAGAGACTGTCTTTTGGTTGGCATGGGAACGCCTTGGGCTCCCCCCAGAAGAGCTGGAAGAGGTGTTGTGGAAAGAGATGGCTGGACCTCCCTGCTCAAGCTGCTGCCCCCGCGACCCGACTTCGGAACAAGCAGAAGATAATGAATGGATAGTCCGGGGAGTTGAACCGGCAACCTTCCGATCAAAGGCCCACCTTCGCTAACCTCTGCACTACCACTCCCCCAGGATCTTTATCAAGTTATTCTGTGTTTATTATTCTTTGATAAATCCTATCCTAGTATTAAAAAATGTGACTTATGAGCGTTATTGTGGTATCACTGTTCATCTTTGCTTACTTTTGTTCTGATCTCTTTTACCTACTGTGCATAAACAACAAGCCTGTTAATTTAAAAAAATAAAATAAATAACAAAACAAATTTAGCTACATTTTCATTTTTAAAAATTCCTCTGTCGGGCACCTCAGCGCGATACATTGAAACATAAACAAATCCAAATCAGTTCAACGCTAACCCTCTGACAAAAGCCTGCAACTATGTTCAATGCAAAACTCCACAGAGTTACTGTATTTTAAAGGGGTTTAGTTTCAATCAGTCACATGCAGAGTTCATTTTAACCAGCAGAGGGCGTGCTACTTAAACGCAGAACATTCATTTATTAAAAAACAATAGACCAATCCAACCCAGCCCATATTTAAATGTGATGGTATTTCAGTTTGCGTTTGGTTAATTTGCACCTGGACCACAGAAAACTTGAGGCTACATCAGGAACAGTCATTCCAGCGGCATCAGTGAGACGTGAATGAGCTTGCAGAGCTGTCTGCAGTACCATGCAATGTGTGACTAGTGTAAAGACTTGTCTACTGGTTTGATTCTTGTTGCACACCTTCTAAATGTGCACACATTTAATTTATTGAACGCCGTTGTCCAATCACGTCTAAAAATAATGGAGTTGGTGTCTGCAGTTCTCTTAGACCTGATGAAAAGCTGCAGAGGCTGTCAACAGACATAAATGTTATATACTGTATCTGACTGAAATATTACCTATTTATTATTGATTTAGAACTGAACTTGAACGGATTAACTTTTTTCTCAGAATCTTCTTGAAGCACATAAATCAGAAACAGTGCTAATGTTGGTAAAAACATCATTCTGATGGACGTGCTTGGGAAAAATGGGAAAATCCAAACAGTACTAATACTCACCTAAGGTTACATGAGCGGGGACTGCTGATTGGCTGATCCAACAGGACACCCAAGACATGGCAACTGGTAGGATTGAAGGCACGTATGACTGGATGATGTAGACATCTGTTACGTCTGAGCTGGACGTGAAGACTGAGCCTTGGAAATCATCCAGCTGGGGAAAAAAACTGAAAACACAAGTCAGCCATTTTAATTACAGAACTGAAGCTCCGGCGTTCAAATCTCCACAGTTCTTTAGGAAGAAAACTACAAGTTGTAAGTAAATGTTACAGACAGCCTCTTCCCAGCAGCAGCTGCTCAGATCTTCAGAACCTCCTGCTTGGATCAAGTAAGTCTGTCCAATAAAATCTGCTGGTAAGTCATAAGATATTTAGCTAACAGTATAAACAAACACACATGTAAGAATGCATGGGTAAAAACATTATCATGATGAAGCCAAACAACCCTTGCATTTATTAAACTGTAATTTGGGCTGACAGTCTTTTTAAATAATGATAATAACTTTGCAATTGCATTCATCCATTATCTTTTACCCACTTCTTCCTTTTCGGATCACGGGGGTCACTGGTGGGAGGAGACCGGAGAAAACACACACATGCACGGAGAGAACATGCAAACTTCACGCAGAACGGTCCCAGATCCTCTCTAAGTTTGTCTTAATAAGAAAACACGACTGGAATCACACTAAGGAAGAAAACTAGGCATCTAAGATTTAAACCAGTTCAACTAAATTGTTTTCTTAAAGCACACCCTTAGGATACACATTTATTTATAAATATTTGTAAAATAAAATGTGCGTGAAATGTAGTTTTTTAATCCTAATAATAGTAACCGAGTTCTCATTTTGATTGTAAAATGCCCACTTTCCATTCTGCACTCTTCACTCACCCAGTCGTCTGTTTCAGCTTGTGTTGTGCTCAAGACATTTCCATATTTGTCTTTCCACACAGTAGAACTTTCAATATATAGTATTTCAAAAGGATCAAGTGGTTTGTGCAGCCATGGAGTGAGCCTTGTGCTTGAAGAGTGTGGGACCCAG